GGGGGAGACCCTTTCTGAAGATGGGGGGGGGGGGGTCGCCTGCATGCTATACGAAGGTGAGTCCAGGATCATAGTCCTTTGTATTATGTTACAGCAAACTCAAGTATATTATAGTTACATTTGGTAGGAAATTCCATCATATTCCATCCAGGTCCGACGGAAGATGCAAGCCAGCGACCAGTACGGTGGATGAGGGCTCGGAGGGAGAGTTGCAGGACTGTAGATCAAGATCACAGAGTCCTTGGTATGCTGCCTCTCCTGCCACGGAATGGCGCATGCTCTAAGTGGCCTGATACGACGAAGGACAACGATGAGAAGACCGAGAAGACTTTGAGACAGACTGGCCATGGGAGCATCTCGTAACAACATCCTATCCGTCCTGCTTGTCTGGCAAAAAATCAATGTCGGAGACCGAGCCGTCAGCCAGTCTCAAGAACTTCCTGCAGATTGCAGCACGGAATGCCGAGTCCATACCATGGGAACACCAAGACAAAAAGGCCCAAGCTAATGCAGGTTGCAAAAAGCAAGTGCGTCCGACGCAAACTAAGCTGCTGCGTGATGCGCCAAGAGTCGGAAAGAGGTTGGGGATCCGCAGCTCTGTCCTGTCTTGCTTTCCCGCAGAGTCACCGGCATCGCCCAATAGCCTGGCCAATACCATTCGCGTTTTGTTGTCTGCTTTCAACTCACGCATGCCCGACATCGGAGTGGCAGTGGAGTTCAGCTCGAAGCGGAAATGAAGCTGGAACTTGACAACTGCATCCGGACTCTTTTCCGGATCTATCAGTGTGGCCATGAGGGCTTGCATTGATGACGACCGTTCCCAGAAGATGTCCGAGTCGACAGGAAACGTAATGTCCTGGAGTGTGATCGGAATGTCCTGCTCGGACAACTTTTTTTGAAACCTGCTGGTGTCTGCGTATTGAGAGATGTGGTTCTGCACAGCCTCGTAAAGCATCAGCCCTCGATATCCGTGAACGGCTTCCACTCTGACATTCAACTGCATGACTGCCGATGTCACAGAGCTGGGTACCAACATGAAGGTATTCAATCCCGAGAAGAAAATGATTGGTCCGACCAGCAGTGCTAAAAGAACCAAAAGAAGAGCAACTCCCATGTAAATCTTCTCGAACATCGGCCGCGCTTCGGCTGGATCTGTCATGGCTCTGCCCTCCATGTCCAATCTCACACGGTATATGCCATGGTGGGCGTCCTCCAGCTTCAACCACATGAACAAGTTCATGGACGTTTCGGTAACGGTCCAGTCTGTGATGACGCGCAGTTCGTTCAAGAAGGGCAGGGCACTGTAAACCTTAAACACGAGCATCGAACCAATGTCTGTGCTATGGCAGAACCGAAGGCCACCTTGCATCACGTGCACGTCATACTTCAACTGCAAAGAGCTCAGCGCGAGGTAAGTCAGGTAGAGCACATAGAAACCAGACAGGGCCGAGAAGCTCATGATCGAAATTTCCTCATGCATCATATCGCGCTTGACACCTTTCAAGCTCCACTGGCGGATGAACAGCGCGTGGATGGAAATGACATGCACAAGGATGTTCAGCTTCTGAACGACCCTGGCCATGATGCCCTGCACATGCAATCGCAAATAGAGCATGCAAGAGACTGCCACAAGGTCCTCGTATGGTTTTGTGGGGCTTTTCTTGTGTCATGGGCCCGCCTTCCACATCCAAGAGGCCGAGGTCTGAACCCGTGCCTGGCCATCATCTTCATCATCCTCACAGATGTAGTCTGAGCGATACCAGGTGTACAGGGCGCGATCCATCACGATCATGGTCAGGAAAAGAACCTGGTGGCAAACCGCTGTTCTTTGCAGCTCTCCTTGTGGGCTGCCCGAAACTTGACCCCAGGACCCGTTACACCGAACCGAATTGAATCGTAGGCAAGGATCGAGGACCTTCACTTGGTTACCGCCAAACTGATTCGCTCGAAGGGATGCAGAAAAGCTGCGGCCGTTCTCCACCATGGTACTCCAGCCGAATATAAGCATGGAAAGGCAAGTAAGGGCAAGACACAAGCGAGGTTCGTAAAGATCCATGGCAGGTCTTCGCACCTTTGTCGGACCCATGATGTTCTCCTTCCTAGGCTTCTCAAAGGACCACCGGGCTTGCAGGACGGGCCTGCCGGGAGCAAACGGAGCACTAGAATCAGTAGAAACTTGCAACATCTTGCAACTTGGCTGCAGCCATCGTGTGAGCGACTCTAGCATCTCCAATGATCTTTCTGCAAAGTTGCTGGGCTGTCGCCCGACCTAGCACTGTGGCGGAAACGTTTGCAGCCATCGATCATCACGGGTGCATCAGGGCCATGCCTCTGACCCGCCGGCAGCTGACGTCATTGAGGCACCCCCTGTCTCCACAGCACATATCATTCAGAGTTGTTGAGGCTTCGTGAAGAATGTGCATTCATGCCCCGGCCGTTGGACTCTTCGTCCTCACCGTCCTCATCTGCCTGTAGATCAAGAGGCTGCATGACCGTAAACGTGCTCATCCTGAGTTCAGTGAGGCAAGTGGCAGGCACAGTGAATCAGACCACACAATGGCTCGGTTTCCGATGAACAAAAGCAACTTTGCGACGAAGTATCCTTCGATTTCGCCGCTCGTAAGCTTTCAAGCTGGTGAGGATTTCAGAGGTGCTGGAAAATCGTCCACCATATCTTGCTGCACACATCACCTTAGTCTTGGTCACAGCAGGTGGGCCAAGAATCTTATGCCATCGGTCTCCCGCTAGCTGTGACGTGCAGAGAAAGTCTTGGGAAAGCCACCAGCAGAAGGACAATGCTGGCGAGGCAGTCAGCCCACAATACAGAAGTCAAGTTCGGCCGCGCAAGGCTGCAGGGATCGGAGGTCTTTTTCGATTTGACCTCGAGCGAATATGAAGTGCCCAGTCGTAATCCATGCAACGATTAACTGCAACTGCGAGGCTAAGCCCAGGAGAGCTGTGAACGGCATGTCGCTCCCGCACATTGATTTACAGCCATCGTAATTTAGAGATCCATCCTCGCAGAATACCGTTAGCTGAAAAATCACCTTCGCAAAGATGACCTGGGCTGATAAAAACGCGCCGGTGAAACAATCATCCACATGCACGTTTCTGGACAATTGCGCCGAGAAGCCGAAATGTTGTACCACTGCAGGAAAACCCACACCTGCCAGGGAGGACGTATGGATGAACCAACTCTGCTTCGAAGCGCGCGCAGGTGTGGGGCTACAGGGTGAAAGCGTATGAATCAGCTTGCAGAACCCCAGTCCTTCCAAGGGACGTGCGGAAAGGACATAAGGGACATCACAACAACAGACACACTGACTGCAGCCGTAATCGAGCGGAACGACATAAACTGTAAAGCACCTCAGCTCTTCAAGCTCCGGCACGGTGCAATCCAGCGATGCTCGGCAGGCAATCAAGAAAGCAATATTGAGCCAAGCGCTTGATATCACCAAGGCTAGCAGTGACTGAGACAGGACAGCTTTGCACAGAAGAATGCCAATGCTGTTGTTCTTCCGATGCTCGTACAGAGTCTCGTCATTTTCCTGAGCATGACGGATCATGAACAAGACTTGGACAGGCCTTGACTTGACGACTACTCAAAGCAAGCCACTGAAATAGAGGTAACTTGAATATCTGAGTTGGAGTTGATTGCGGATAGGCTCACCGATTTTTGCCGGACGAGATTCGCCGATGAAGAGCATGTCATCCAGGCATGTTTGCAGAAAGCCAGCAAGGCAAGGGAAATCCCAGGCACTGTCGCTGGATTCGTCCTCTTCTCTGGACTCTTCCCTTGGTGCCTCACGTTTTGCCACAAAGGCTGGAGGAAGTACGTGCTAGCCAGAAACATGCTGCAAAGGCACCTCCGAGGCAAAGGAAACCACAGTCGCAAAACGTGCTCTCTTGTTGCCCTTGTCGGTCGCATCGGGCCTGCACATCATACTGTTTCAGCATTGTGCTGGCTCAGTGTTCCTGTCATGCCAAGCATCTCGACAGCCACGGCTAGCCCGTCTTGTATCGAGGGCCTGCGAGCTGCCAACACGATCAAGGTGCTCGTGGCCTGTGGTGGCCCCCTGCTGTTTGATGGCATGGTGCTAGCTGCTAGTAATGCTAGTAGCTCCAAATGTAGTGTGGGCTCGTTCTGTGCTTGCAAAGGAGCCTGTCCGCTAGAGACGCGCTTCGACTCTGCACAGCAGATGGCGGCATGGAGCGCATTTCGACCTGTCACGATCGTGATTCATGCACATGCACGCTCTCGATGGCTCTCGGCCCTCGATGTCAGCATTTCCGGGTTGCTCGATTTAGAGCCGCACACATCTTGCTGAGGCTAGCAGTCATCGGTCGCCTCTGCCGGGCGATCATCTTCCTGAAGCATTCATGATGGAATGATGTGGAACGCCTGCTTTTCCACAACACTCTCAAATTGGGTCCATGTCCTTGAGCATTGACAAGACCATGTTCCGACACTCTTGGAGCAGCCGCTGCTTGGCCGCCGCTTCATCTGCAACAGTGATCATTTTGAGCTTGCGCAAGTACCTCGCGCACTGAATGCGAGGACAGGTTTCCATGCATTGCTCGTGACAACGGGCCTGCGGTATAGGTAGTCCACCACGCACTTGTCTACCCAGGCTTGCGCATGCAGCCTGTCAGCGAATGAGCTTTGCTGTCGGGTCGCACGACGGTTAGGCTTCCGCCCGCCCCATCCCCCTTCTAATTGACTTTCTCTTCCTGGCACGCCCCCACTGAAACAGTTGCAGCTTGCAGCTTTTGCGCAAGTCTACATGTTCGCGCCTCTGCTGTGGGGTCAAATTGTCGAGAAGTCGCTCTTCTCCTTGCGAGGCACTTGTGAACTCCTCGAGCAAGCTGCGGACCTCGAGCATCATGGATGCAGCTTACACTGCTCCGAGCCTCCTGCTTTGTGGCTTTACCAGCAGCTTTCAAGAATTCAACCCTGGCCCTCACCCTCCCTGCCCTCCCCACCAGCTGCTCTTGGACGCCACCCTGCAGGCAGATGTGCTCCACGCGTGCAGCGGAATGATTTGCTTCCTCCTGCAGGGGTGATTTCGTGACGGCATGCAACATCAACGATACGAGAAAAGAAACGAGCAGCTGCCGTCACAGGGGTAAGAGTGTTTTTTTTTTTGTT